AAATTTATCTTTCCACTCTATAGCTCCACCTGCAAAGAAACTAATTTGCTTTCCATCTTTGTTGTCTGTTGCTTTTACTTAATCATCAGCAACACCACAAAAGCTTCCCATTGTCTTTACGATTCCTAAACTTATCTGAATCATCGAAAAAGTCGTAAAAAAAGTAGGAGCCTGATTTTTGCCTCCGTTATGAATTTTATGTGATAACTTATAACTTGGTTCTAAGCCAACGTTCTTAGCTTGGCAGAGCATTTCATAGGATTTCTGGGCTACATCGTTGGCTTATGGCTGCGATCTCAAGCCATATTGATATGTATTGTCCTTCACATGCAGTTTTGAACATAATTCGGGAGCTCTATGATGTTCTACTGACTTACTACAATGCAAAGCAAATGCCAATCCATAAAGACCCTGGGAGATTGCAGACTTCCGCAACTCTGATTTCGTAGATGACCGGCTCAGTTTACGCGGCGCTTCCACAACACAATGCTCATTGGGAACCTGGTACGAGTGTGTTCAAGGTCATGAACAACTGTATTTGCAGTTCGTCTTTTCTTTGTCTGTTTTATCTTTTGCTAAGTTGATAGGGTCTCATTAAACGCGTGCAAAGTTTTAAAAGCTGTTTCGGAGAAAACAATTTGGGTCAAAAAGCTCCAAGTTACAACCTCAGGTCTGTGTACTATGAAAAATGAGAAAACAAGAACGGGTTTCAGTGAAAATGCTACAAGCCCCTGTTGTTTTGAAAAGGAAGGATTGTAATAATCGATTGTCGTAGGACAAGATACACGAAACTAAAGAGAGATGAGATTCAGGCCATTACCTTTTTCATGATTTTCTGTATAGGATGATTACGAAAACATGTGTTGCTAATCTAGGAAAGCAATGGGCACTAAAATGGAGAGCAAGTCATTTTTTTGCAGTCGTATCTATTAAAACAACCAAAATCATACAAATGTCTTGAGGAAGTCAGAAATTGTTCAGCGCAACGAAATGTTGTAAACAAGGTAACCGTATCTGCTAAAATTGAAGAAATTTACGGCAGAAGTCTATAACAGTGGAACACAAGGCAGAAACGTACAAGACTGGATGACTCATCCTTGTTTTTGAAGCGCCTCACCTATCTTTTTCCAAATAAGCTAAATTTATACAAATTCAATTTCTTTTCTTCTCTTCTATTCCTATTCTATTCCTATTTTTAGAAATTTACATCTCATAGCATACTTCCAGAATGGCATCACCATTGAGCTCTACTCTCCACAGGGCACAAACTACACACTCCTAGCAGCCGGTGTGGTAAACTTGAAGCCGCTTTTACAGGTTGGTTTGTCATCTCAACACTTCTGCACAGTTAATCATATCTGCTTCGAATAAGAAAGTTTGCTGAAAAATGTGATTTTTATGCAAATTTCCTTTCAAAAGTCTTTGCTCAGAAAGGTACAAAAAACCGTTACGTTGGCGAACTAAAATTAGTTTCTCTGGAATCCGGCACGACTATAGCCAACCTGAAGTATGAGCTAAATACCACTGAGGAATTGACAAAATCGATCAACAGCTACCAGGTGATTCATTCATTTTGTGAAAACTTCATACTTATGATATTCTCAAAAAAATAAACGAGCAAACAAATCAATTACAGTGTAGTTGTTAAAAATGAATGATAATGAGTGGTCAAATTAAATCTACGAGTAATGCTTTGATTAGGAACATGTTCAGGTTGCTGAAGCTGCACAAAAGATTCTTCCAATAGAGATACCAGCAGATAAGCAATCATTTGAGGAACTAACAGTGATGGTACACAGGTGCACGGGTCTAAACAATCTGAAGAAAGGCGAGTATAGCTTCCTATTAAATATACGAAACACTCCACGAAAGTTTAATTTAGGTCAGATCGAGGTGTGCGTTATCTACGAGTTCTTCTCATTCTCACCCTACTTCACAAATTATGTGTCT